TCAGCCCCGTAGTATATCGGACAGAGACATGAGGAAAAGGTACCGAGTTTGGGGTTCGAAGTTCCTGTCGAGATCGAGACCAGTAATGATCGAGGCCAAACGGGATAAACGTCGAACAAGACCGAAGATAGCACAATAACGGTAAGGCGAGATATCCGCGATTGATTGAGGATCATGGCGGAAATCTCAGAACGGATCAAATCAAGCACGGGTGTTTCGCTAATCATGAGATTTCCTTCTATAATTAGACTTGTACCATAAGTGGATTTCCTCTACTATATAAAAGGGGATTCTAATTACTTGTAACCATCTTACATTGTCCATACATATCAAAGCAATATAACACTTTCTCTTTCTTTTATATTCTGGTTCATCAGCTTGTTATATTTTCAATTGTTCTTGCACCAATCAATTCGAGGGTAGCTCGAGCGCTGAATTACGTTTCAACAGTGGTTTGCTTTATCTTATTGTTAATTTTCTATAACTAATCTTTACATTTATTAATTGGTATTAGGTGAAATCACGTGTCCTTAAAACCACATTATAAGTTTAATTGTTATCCAATTTTAAGGGTAAACAGTTTGGTGCCCACCGTGGGGCTAAGGATAATATTGATTGCCTGGTAATAATTCTAGTAACAAACACTACTTTACACTTGTTCTCGTAAGTGTCTTTGATTTCAGGAATCAACATGTCAAACTCTCAAGTAGCACCCACTCACTCGGACAACGGCCTTGGTCTTCATGGCGAAACAAAAACATTGTCGCCCCGGGAAACGGAGTTCCTCCGGTCAACCCCGACGTACAGCCCTCCGTAGACCCAGTCGATATTAGCTCCCACATTGCCATTAATGGGAATTTGGACATCGACCCTGAGAATAGCATCTGCAGGGATACTCGAGCAGCCGATCAGAACGCACAGAGCAGTGAAGAAGGAGGAATTAGCCTTTGAATGATATTCGAGATGTTGCAGACTCAACAAGTTGCGGTAGCACAACTCCAAAATCATAATCGAGCACAAGCAGGATCGAGCCCGAACCCTCACTAGAAGTTATTCACAGAGCCGAACCAGTTCCGGAGAAACCAAATGAGAATGAATCGGGGACTGACTCCTCCATTATGAAGATGCTCGAAGAACTCACAAAACGGATCGAACCAGGGGTGAAGAAGATCGAGGAAAATGACAAAAGGGTAAAAGCGTACAACTTCCGAGTTGATCAAATTTCGGGGGCAACACCGATATTGGAAGGACTGGATTCTAAAAAGTTCGTGCAAAGACTCTTCCTCCCTAGTGCGGCTCCGAAGCCAATCCCCAAGAAGTTCTGTATGCCCGAGATTCCCAAGTATAACGGGACGACCGATCCGAATGAACACGTCACCTCAATACGTGCGCCATCAAAGGAAATGACTTGGAAGATGACAAAATTGAATCTGTACTGCTGAAGAAGTTCGGGAGACTCTATCGAAGGGTGCCTTAATGTGGTATCATAACTTACCCCCTAATTCTATTGTTTCGCTTGCTATGCTTGCAGATTCTTTTGTAAAGGCATAAGCCGGAGCCATTAAAGTTGCAACGAGGAAGTCGGACCTTTTCAAGGTAAGGCGGAAAGATAACGAGATGCTCTGGGAATTCGTATCTCGGTTCCAAGCGGAGAGAATAGATTTGCCTCCGGTCACCGATGACTGGGCTGTTCAAGCTTTCACTCAAGGTCTCAACACTCGAAGTTCCATAGATTCACAACAGTTAAAGCAAAGTTTAATCGAGTACCCGGCTGTCACTTGGGCCAACGTACATAATCAATATCAGTCGAAGATCAGTGTCGAGGATGAGCAGTCGGGGAGTCCTTCCGGATCTGTTTTTCCTAACAGGCCCATGGATAGGATCAAAAGGGACATCGATTGAGAGTCAAGGTCGAATAGAGATCGATATCAACCGTACAACAGAGACCATAGAGGCAGCGGGTCTGGGCGAAGCTTCGCACGAAATGAGAGGAGAAATGATTGAGGTCAAAATTCACGGGGGCTTAGTGCTGAGGAAGATCATGTTAAATATCCAAAATCCGAATGAAGGTACGACCCCATTCAATTCTTTCTATTTTTTCGACTAACACTTGAAGGCGATCGACAAGGAGCGGCACAAAGTTTTGGATCTTAAAGCACACGTTGCACTCTTTTTCCCTTAGACCGGTTTTGTCCCAAATGGGTTTTTCCGACGAGGTTTTTAATGAGGCAACCATTGTTCGTGCTAACCTAGAGCAATTCAAGATTATCCGAGGTTCCTATAATAAGCCTCGAATACTGGGGGGGCATTGCCATCGAGTGTCAACTTTGTTGCAAGAAAATCACTTTGTGACAGCGGGGTCTCGATAGGAAGATGTTTAAGGGTCAAACAGTCGAATGGACTGTGCCCATATAGGTTACTCGAGCCCTAACATCAAACATGTAAGCATGTATAATCATCTACTGAGAGAAGTATTTTTCCTTGCCGATATCCCATGCCTTAGAAAAATTTCCTACTTTACAATTTCATACTCTTGATCTATTGTGTAAACAGGCTTAAGGGCCAATCATGACGGAAGTTCGAACAACTAACCCCATGCTTGGGACTGCCGTCCGAAAAACAAACGAAATGGAATTATTAAAACTTCGAGATCATAAGACCTTAAAGGCGACCCTCGATTTTTACAGGCCACGGCCACCTCACTCGGGTATTGACACTTCGGGCAAGCTCGAAGTGAAATAGAAAATGAGCCCAAAGGGAAAGTTCTAAACTAAAGAGGCTACGGCCTAATTAACACGGATCAGAGACGTCCGAAATCTGTAAAAAATACAAAGGCCTAAGGGCCACTCTCACTTCGAGTTCGAGGTTTCATCCTTACTCGGCTATAAAGCCTAAGGGCTACTTTTACTTTGAGTTCGAGCAAGTACTCACTCGACTACTAAGCCCAAGGGCTACCCGAGTTCGAAAAAATTCTCACTCGGGGACTATCTTTCGAGCCCGGGGGCCATCTTATCTCGAGTTCGAGCATTTCCTCACTCGATCATAAAGCCTAAGGGCTATTTTCATTTCTAGTTCGAGCAAGTACTCACTCGACTACTAAGCCCAAGGCTTACCCGAGTTCGAAAAAATTCTTGCTCGGGGACTATCTTTCGAGCCCAAGGGCCACCTTATCTCGAGTTCGAACATGTCCTCACTCGACCATAAATCCTAAGGGCTATTTTCATTTCGAGTTCGGACAAGTACTCACTCGACCATCAATCCAAAAGGCTACCTTACCTCAAGTTCGAGCAAATCGACTGTTGAGCCTAAGAGCTACTTAAACTCAAGTTCAAATGGTCATTCGAGGTCAATCGATCAGAAACGGTCGAGGGCAGTACTTGTTGTCGGTCATTACCATCTCAAACTTTGGACCTTCAAAAGCAATTTTATGCTAAGGCGCTTTGACCCGCACAAAAGGATAACAGATTCAAAAGCCATGGAAGGGAAAAAAGCTTTATATATTCGTCAAAACCTTTTTACAAGTGTTGTAGGTCCCGATCAAGAATTCTTTACAAGGGCCGATCAACCTCAAAATAAAAGCAAAAAATTACGAAAAGCACGAAGCCTAGGCAGCACGATCCTTATCGGTAGAAGTGTTTTCACCCTCAGAATCTTCTGCATCGCTAGACTCGCTAGAGTTCTCGGAGTCTTCCTCGGGAAAGGCCAGCTTCCGAGCTTTTGTTTCCTCTATTGCTTACGTCATAGTGATGATGTCATGGCAAATCGGGGTAAAGATCGAGGACTCAATTCGTTTCTTGTCGTTATACTCCAAAAAACGAGGGGACTATCTGTATACGGTTAAAATTGGGCCCACCCGATTTTAGTGATCAACCGAGACGGGGGGGGGGGGGGGGGGGGGATGGATCGAGGATCGGCCCCGTAGTATATCGGACCGAGACATGAGGATAAGATACCGAGTTCGGGGTTCGAAGTTACTATCGAGATCGAGACCAGTAATGATCGAGGCCAAACGGGATAGACGTCTAACAAGACCGAAGATAGCATAATAACGGAAAGGCGAGATATTCGCGATTGATCGAGGATCATGGCGAAAATCTCGGAACGGATCAAAATCAAGTACGGGTATTTCGCTAATCATGGGATTTCCTTCTATTATTAGACTTGTACCACAAGTTGATTTCCTTTACTATATAAAGGGGAATTCTAATCACTTGTAACCATCTTACATTATCCATACATATCAAAGCAATATAACACTTTCTCTTTCGTTTATATTCTGGTTCATCAGCTTGTTATATTTTTAATTGTTCTTGCACCAATCAGTTCGAGGGTATTCTAGCTCGAGGGCTGAATTGCGTTTCAATATTGGTTTGCTTTATCTTATTGTTAATTTTTATTACTAATCTTTATATTTATCAATTGGTATTAGGTGAAATCATGTGTCCTTAAAACCACATTATAAGTTTACTTGTTATCCAATTTTAAGGGTAAACAATACTAACGAAGAGATTCAATTTTTTCCGTGATTAACGATCTGATCACGCAACAAAAGTAAAATTAAATCATGCCCGTTGACATCTTTTCTGATCAGATATATCGGTCAAGCAAACGAAAGAGCCCTTAAGCAATTTAATTCTCTCACTGTTGCCCGGAGTTTGTAGACTAAGAGCCCGTTTGGATTGACTTATTTTTAGTGATTTTAAGCCTAAATAGCTTTTAAGCCATTTGTAGTGTTTGGATAAAGTAAAAAGTATTTTTAAGCACTTGTTTTTAAGCTAAAATGACAAAAATAAGCCAAAAGTCAAAAGCTAGAATTCCTAACTTATCGCTTTTGGCTTAAAAGTCACTTACAACAAGCCCATCCAAACGGGCTCTAATTTCTCCCGAAAAAATTATTCTGTAATAGCTGCACTTCAACTTACAGAACTTAGCAATGACGAGCATATCACTCTTATACTTATATTTATTATTGGAAAAATAATACAGAGAAGAGGGGAGAAATTTCAGAATTTTAAGAGGGGAGAAATTTCAGAATTTATAAGCAACAAGAAAGTGCCATTGAAGAGGTGCAATTCAAAAAATAATTTTTATCCATTCACACCTTAAAACCCCAATAGCAGAATCCCCAGAAGTTTTCCAAAGTTGAAGTTAGGTCAAATTATTTATTGTTAGTACGACATAAAAACTGGTTTTAGGCGCTCTGGTTTTGTGGAAGGTCCTTACCAGGTAAGAGGTCAGCGGTTCAACTACCTCTATATATTGGATACTTTTACTATATTGTTTCATGTCTATGTTCGCTTCACCATTAATATTAATTCAAGTCTTTTTTCACTCAAAATCCTTTACTTTTTCTTGGTGGTAGTAAACATGTTACACATTGGCAGCAGAAGCAAAACCATATCCCTCTCCGATTACAAAGTCACAAATGGCAAGTTTTGTTCTTCATAACTCATTTCGATGACAAATTAGATATGTCCGTCTGTTCTGGTAATCGATAATGCTCTTAATTCAGTTTTTCTTTTTTCTCCCTTTTATTGAAAGGATACGGATTTCACTACAGGCCGTCCATAGTAAGATGCAACTGCAACCCTGCTTCTTCGGTAATAAGCTGAGCTCATGATTACAACGATATGTTTTAACCTCTAATTAATTGTAATGACTACAGGTAGGGGCCCAAGAGGTAAAGGAGAGAATAAGAAAAACGTTTGGGAAAATAGAGATATCTCCATCTTGCTATGACACTGCTTGGGTAGCCATGGTCCCTTCAAGAGATGAGCCAAAGCAGCCATGTTTTGCACAGTGCTTGGATTGGATCCTTGAAAATCAGAGAGAAGATGGATCTTGGGGTTTGAGTCCTACTCACTCATTGCTTGTGAAAGACTCCCTTTCTTCTACTCTGGCTTCTTTGCTTGCTCTCTCCAAATGGAGTGTCGGACACAAGTTAGTCCAAAGAGGTAATATATATGTTCAAAGTTAATTAAACACATATATACCTAGCTACCACCAAAGTAGAGAATTAATTAGGTTGAATTTTAGTAAAAGCTTACTTTAAATATGTATGGACAGACGGGACCTTAGTATTTCCTTTATTCTTCCATTTTCAGGACTCGATTATATAGGAAGACAGAGTTGGTCAATTGATAATAAGGGTCAAATTTCAGCGGCAGGATTCGATATTATATTTCCTAGCATGATCAAGTATGCAGGGGAACTGAACTTGAATGTGCCTTTGGACCAAAGCCTCGTAAATGTCTTGTTCCAGAAACGAGATTCAGCAATGGAAAGGTATTGTTTTTCAAAAAAAATTAACAGCTTGTTTGGATGGTTGTTACCTATCGTATCGTATCGTATTGTTACTTTAAATACATTGTTTGTTTTCATTGTTACTTAAATTTTATTGTATCGTATTGTTAAATCTGTCGTTACGTAACGATGAAATGTGCCACTTTATGTAACGACCGATTTGGTGTGGTCGCGTCGTTTCCTTGTGTTTTTCTCTCAATCTCACCCTTCATTTTTATTAAATATTTTTATTTTATCATTTACCCTACCTTTTTATATACGTACCATAATTTTTCTTTATAATATTGCAAGTTTATTCATCATATCACAGGTGCGTGATACCATGAAACGACGCCAAAACAACACAATACATCCAAACATTGTATTCATCAAACGATACAATACAATACGATACGATACATTATGAAACGATACGTAACAACCATCCAAACAAGCTGTTATGTATTTATGGGATGAAAAAGAATGTCAATTATACCCATATAAAGTCTTTTGCTAATTTTAATACTTGAATATATTTCAAACTCACTCTCATTTATTTAACTAACCTAACTCTCATTTATAATCACTACTTAATTGAGTTCTAAAACTTATTAAACAAATTTTAAAATCTATTTGAAGCCAGGATGTTACAGAATGATCTCAAGGAGTGTAAAACCAAGCTTGCATATTATTATGCTGAAGGCCTTGGCGAATTATGTCAATGGGAAGAATTGATGACTTATCAAAAGAAGAACGGATCACTTTTCAACTCACCAGCCACTACTGCAGCTGCTTTGATTTTCCATTGCCATGATGAGAAGTGCCTTGGATACATAAATTCAATCCTGAAACATCACAAAAATTGGGGTATGTACTATGATCACCTGAAATATTCTATGTTGCTCGGACTCTCCGAAAATGTGACAGGATACGTGTCGGATCCTCCAAAAGTAGTGCATTTTTAAAGAATCCGACACGGGTGTGGCTACATTTTAGAGAGTCCGCGCAACATAGGAAATATTATACTATTGCTAGCTAATGTTTAGCTTCAGTTTACAAGCTCTGCATTATTTTATCTCCAACCCATTTTCCATTGCTAATATTTAGTTTCTTCTTTCTTTTCTTGGCGCGTCTATACGAAGTTCCTACTATATATCCTACGACAATACCTACACGTCTGCAAATGGTCGATACCCTGCAAAAGCTGGGGGTAGACCGACATTTCGAAGCAGAAATCAAAACTGTTCTAGATGAAACATACAGGTAAGTTTCAAACATATCATATACCTTGATTAATAAATCCATCTTTTAGTCTTATCAACATGTAATCCTGATTAATGACAAACAGACTTTGGGAGCAAAAGGACGAAGAAGTTTCTTCAGATGTTGCTTATTGTGCCATGGCGTTTCGACTATTACGGATGTGCAACTACAAAGTTTCCTCTGGTTTGTTGATAAAAATCGTTTAATTACTCGCCTTAAAACTTTGCACGATTGAACGTCCTGTAGTTAATATGCTAACATTCTGCAGAAGAATTAGCACGATTCAAAGGTCAAGAACATATCATCAATTCATTGAATGCACAATGTACAAGTCGTGATGATGCAATTCTTGAGCTACACCAAGCTTCACAGTTAGCCTTTGATGAGAAAGATAACATTTTGGATGAAATAAGTACTTGGACAGAAGCTTTACTGCAGCAGGAGTTATTAGAGGAGAATAATCTTGATAGGATGTCACAAAACGAGGTATATTACGTAATTAATTATACAATTGATGCTAAGATATTTCTTTATTGTTTTTCATTTCTACTATGTATGGATCAATTTTTAAATTCATTTAAATCCCATGAACAAGGAGTGTGATCATAATCTTGAGGAAAATAATGCTAGGTGCAACACGCTTTGAGGAATTTCAGTGCAACCCTTGAACGAGCCGAAAATAGACGATACATCGAGTCATATGATGTAAATATGTTCAAATTTTCAAAAACAGCTTACAGGTAAAGGTTCGATTCTCTGGACCTATACATGTCTATCTTCGCTAATGATTTCTATCCATATTTTTAGATGAAATGATCTCTTATACTCACTCACAATTTGAATAGGAGAAAATGTTCCTACCATTTCTAACAATGCAATTTATTGTTTTCTTTCTCTTTTAGGTCCCCCAACATATACAACATGAATTTCTTACTATTCTCTATGCATGATTTTAATTTTTGCCAAACAGTACACCAGCAAGATATTCAAGAACTCAAGAGGTATCACAACCAACTTTCTTGACTCGAACATGACATACTTCGATGCTTATTGCTCCCCAATATGTTTTACTATCATTTTTTTGTCAAACTTTCTGTAGGTGGTATGACGATTGCAAACTAGACCAATTAGGAATTTCACAAAAATATATATACACTTCATATATGCCAATGTCTTCATTGCTCTTCGGGCCTGAATTCTCGGATGCTCGTTCCGTGTTTGCAAAATATGTTTTGCTCACAACTGCATTGGATGATTTTTTTGACGAATTGGCTTCCCAAGAGGAGTTGCTCAACCTAATCGAATTAGTAAAAGGGTACTATAACTGTTCTTGTTCTCTTTATTTTTCCAGAAAATCAGTTCCTTTGTCCTTCAATCCATAGTTTTTATTTATTTTTGAAGTGTTACATAACTTTTGTCTATTTACAGGTGGAATCGGTATTCAACCATAGGCTACGTTTCAGAGAGAGTTGAAATTTTATTTTTAGCAATATACAACACCTTTAATGAATTTGCAGCCATGGCAGAAATTATGCAAGGTCGATGTGTTAAAGATCAAATATTTGACTTGGTACGCTATAGTCTGGTAATTTAATTTTCGCTTAGTGACTTCTCTCATTTGCTTCTAATTGAAAGGATTGATGAACTATGGACAGTTTCTTGATGTTCTGAATTGCATGATGAGAGAAGTAGAATGGTGGAGAGAAGAGAAGACACCAAGTGTAGAAGAATATTTGTCAATTGCCTGTGTTACTATAGCTGTCAAAGCTATTCTTTTTACAACACAATATATTCTCGCGCCAAAACTTTCGGAGGAAGTTATAAAAAGTGCTGAACTTGGTGAAATATGCAAATGTACGACTATAGTGTGTAGACTCCTTAATGACACTCAAACTTACAAGGTGAGTTCATTTATTTCTTCATTTATTTTGTAGTTGCACTATAAATATCTAAAAAAGGACAATCCGATGCACTAAGCTTCCGCTATGCACGGGGTCGGGAGAAGGGCCAGGCCACAAGGGTCTATTGTAAGCAGTGTTACCCTGCATTTCTACAAGAGAGTGTTTTCACGACTCGAACTCGTGACATTCTGGTCTAAATGGCAGCAACTTTACCGGTTACGCTATAAATATCTATTTAACAATATCTTTTGGTTGCAGAAAGAAAAAGAAGAGAGGTCAAGTAACATAGTCAACATACTCGTAACACAAAGTGAAGGAACGGTTTCGGAAGAAGAGGCAGTAGAAGAGGTAAAAGAAATGCTGGAGAAGAACAGAAGAAAATTGCTGAGAATGGTGCTTCATAAGAAAGAAAGCAGTCAGTTGCCGCAAGTATGCAAAGATCTGTTTTGGAACACGAGCAAAGTAGCTCATATTCTATACTCAAACGGCAATGAGTTTCGCTCTCCAGAGGGACTCAAGAGTAATATAAACACATTATTTTACAAACCAGTCGACCTATCCCCAACACAAGCCTAGAGTCTCGCCAAATAGCCAGTGCTGAAACCCCAAGCAGATTTTAATGAGTTTTGTTGTTCTTAAACTGAATGTTAGCTTATCCTGATGCTATATATCTCTATGACCAATTGTGTTCATTGATCACAGAGCATTTGGAAAATTTCCTTTTGTCTTCTATACTTCAACTTATTGTTAGTTATGTTGTAAAATGTAGTGAGACCTTCAGTTAGATTGTTGAAATAATTAGAGTTATATTTGGAATGTTTTCAAAGTTTGATTTGCCATTTGTTAGTCAACACCTAAATCTTGTCACCACATGATTGACATTATATAAAGTAGTTGGATGTGCGAACAAAGTCTAATATTGATAGTTGAAAAGATTGGAAGACTATATATATATATATAAAAGGTATAGGGATCTCTTCCTTAAAATATTTCTTCTTTTAAGTTTTGTCAACTCTTCACTACTCCCTCCGGTCCAAAATAAGTGATTTTTTTGGCCTTTTTCCTGTAGTCCAAAATAAGTGATTTTTCCAGATTTTAAGAATGAATTAATTATTTTTTTCCTACATTGCCCTTGGAGTAAATAGTGTTGGAATATGTGTTAGGAGGATTTATGTGAGATAGTAAAGGTTAATATGGTCAATTCAATTGCTAATTAATGCTAAAAGGTGAATTTCTTAATCTGTGTGAAAACATCCAAAAAATCACTTATTTTGGACCGGAGGGAGTAGTATTCTGACGAGTCCAGAGCGACACATTCATAACCAATTAATCTTTTGGGGAATCAACTATTGTTGAGTTAATAAGCACATGAGGGGTCTATTTAGAGGTGCCCACGAGATTGAGCAATTTATGCTATATACCTACCTACTATAAAATAATTACCCGTTTCTACCTATTCTCAAACTAGTTACATTATATACCTATCCGACCAAAAGTATTTACCCGCATACTTCATCTACTACAACTACCCTGCACTTATCCTCATCTTTTTCTTCTCCCTTTCTCTTTTTTTCCTTTCTTGCTGAAGCTTATATTTGGTTCCAAACATTAATGTCCCCCTTGTTCTTTTATAAAAAAATTTCAAAGTAGGCTTTCTCTGTACTTAGTAGCTATGCTGATTTTTTATTTTAATTTATCGGTGATAATTAAAAAAAAATCAAATGCAACTAACAAAAGGAATGTAGAACTCTAACAATTTAGTAATTGAGTATTAAATGACTAATATTAAAAGTAATTAGCAAATTTTTCAAAACCGAAACAATTAGTACCTGCAATGAAGGAGAACTTGAACGTTTAGTGTTACAAATAATTATTTCTAATATCTTTTGAGAAGTTCATAGTGATTTATTGTAAGAAAAATTAGATCAACCATTGAAAGACCTTGAAACTTGAAAATCATAAATTGCATTTGTCGAGTTTGTAATTGTTTGATTAGATTTTGACTGGCGTGATTAAATATCAGTGGCAACTGTAACTAAATGTTGAGTCAGTTTGGTCGAGACTTGGAGCTGATTTGAGGTGATTGAGATCGAAATTTTCAGTTGAAAATCGAAGAAGAACACAACTACAGTAATAATCGAAGAAGAACACTATTACCTAACAGTATACTGCTACAGTATACTAATATACTATAGGAGTATATAGTTATACTACAACAGTATACCATTATAGTATACAAATATATTGTTATGGTATACTGTAATAATATGCAAGATATTGTAACAATATGCTGTAATAGTATACAATATACTACAATAGTATACTTATTACCCATAAATTCACTTGCCTTTTCCCTTTTAATTTGTTTTAAGCTTTTACCTAGCGTGAACGGCAAATTGAAAATGCAAAAAAAAAAAAAATTATAGTATGCTATATAATGTAACGGTATACTCTTACAATTAGATCCTTTTAGATTTTTTTAAAATTTTTATTGACAACTGATATTATTTCAGTTTAATAATTGAATTAAACTTTTTTAACTCTTTGCGTACAATTGTATACCCTGTTGGTATAACTATATACTATACTGGTATCAAATGTTAGTTAATATTTTTTGATTGTATTAGCTACATTTAATTGGTACACAATTTGATTTTTCTTTAGTAATAATATAAAAAAGAGAATAATAAAAAATAGTGAAAATAGTAAATGAAATCAGATTATGAAGAGAAAAAGAATATAAAGAAAAGAAGTTAAATGAAATTAGAATAGGAAAAAAGAAAAAAAATAAGAAGAAAACAAGAAAAAAGAAAAGGAGAAAAGCAAAAGAAAAGAAAAGAAGCATAGAAATAAAAAAGAATTGGAGAATAAAGAGAAAATTTCCCACAAAACCTACTATGGGTAGGAAATGTAATTAGTTTATGGGTAGAAAAGCAAATGGGTAGACAAGGGTAAATAGTTTTGTTTTTGTGGGTAACTGTGTCAAAACCCCCACGAGATTCTCCCAATGAACATGGTCAAATAACAGATGTGCACATGTTTCCTTGTTTCTTCGAAAAGAAATTACATAATAAAACTTAGAAGTTGTATACAGTCGAAGTCGAGCTCGACTACAACTTGGTAGATTTGGCTTAGAACGTGGCGACCACGGACTGGAGATTGACCTCGAGTCTCACCGAGTTAGAACCTGAGATCGGAAGACCTGCCTTCGATGAACATTGAGTCCGATATCGACCTTAGCCTCGAGCGAGCTCGGAAATAACAAACGGAAGACCGAAATATCCGTGACCGGGCGGATATTACGGCAGGAATCTCGGCGCATATCGTCAAGGAACCGGCAATTAACAAATCAAGAGATATTTACCTTTTATAGAAATGTACCTAGAGTAGGACTCCTCTACTATATAAAAGGGGATCTGATAATTTATGGGACACATTTTAATATGCATCACAAAGAAATATACTGTTAATACTAGTTCTTATTATCGCATCATTCTGTTTCGGTATCGATTAAGGCATTTTTGACTCGAGGGTGACCAACCTTCAAGGCCAAGATTGTTCAACTTGTGTGGTTTGCATTTACTTTTCTATCATTAATTTCAATAATAATCTGATTTCTCAATTTGTATCAAGTTAAATCACGTATCCTTAAAACCGCATACAAATTTAATTGTTATCCGATTTTGAGGGTAAACACAAGTAATCATCATAGAAAAAATAGTAGAGACTCAGGCTAATAACGTGCTATAAGATATAAAGCAAATGAAGAGAGTGAATATATAGAGAAAGACAAAGTAATGTATTATTATTTTTTTCAAATTGAAACAAATCATTACTCTCTATTTACGGAAGAAAGCAAGTTGCGTGTAATAAGCTGATTACAATCCTTTCTAATTGCTCGCAATCTATTTGCATGAGCTACTTACAACCTACTTGTTTCATTGTAAACCTCTTCAGAAAGCTTAGTTTACTTAAGCTTCTTAAAAAAATTAAAATGGACACACAATTTAATGTAGTCATAACAGCCCTTTTTATTTTTATCTCTTAAAATTCTAAATAAAAATCTTCACACCACGTGAAATCTGAAGATTCGATCGGTTAGGAACGAGAAATATTAAATTTGCGTAAGCGAGGCTCACCATTACAAATTTATAAATCTTCAACTCCCTATACTTTCTTCAATATATTTGGCCATACACCAAACAAAATTTTAAATTAGTCCCCTTCCCTTTGCTCCGCTCGGTGCTATCTGATTGTCCCCTAATATGAATTATTTTACACTATCAGGTAAAAGTTCCCAGGGACCCGGAGCCGCTACTCTTTGGGTGCACTAAGTAACCTGCTTACTGTACAATAGCTCGCAAACTACACCGGAGATGTAAACCGCACTAGGCAAGCTTCAAAATACAACATATCATCTTTTTTATGAAGTGTTTATCTTTTGAATGACATGATAACGTAAAAATCTTTGTGCTATCAGTGGGCATATGTAAGTTAAATAAGTTATACTGTATGACCATATAACAGTGGAGCGAGGAAATCAGAAAGAAGGCGTCTCAAAAACCTGGCAAGCTAAGCAGACTTGGAGCCCGTTTGGCTTAGCTGATTTAGAGTAGCTGATAAGCATTAGCTGCTAAAAAGCACTTTTAAGTGTTGAAACTGATTTAAAAAATAAGCAGTTACGTGTTTGGATAAAAGTGCTGAAATTAATAATAAGCAGCTGAAAACTGGGTATACGAAGAGTTTTGTTCTAAAAAGAAGTATTTTAGGGATAGAATAGTAAATATTTTGGTCAAACCTAAAGTGCTTATAAGCTGAAATTTGATAAGTTGGGGGAGACCAACTTATGGCTTTTAGCTTATTTTTGGCTTATAAGCACTTAACTTATAAGCACTTTTAATTTTACCAAACGCGTAGATAAGCCAAAAAGTATTTATAAGCCAGTTTGACCGGCTTATAAGCTTAGCCAAACACCCTCTTGGTCTTTCTGAACCTCTCAATCTTTTTTCAAATTCCCATGGAAATCCAGACATCTTTCTTCGTTTCCATTTTCCTTGTATTGTTATCCTTATGTTTCATAACAATCGAAGGGTACAACAAATATGCAAACAGTAAGCAGAAATTGCCACCAGGGCCGAGGAAGCTCCCACTGATAGGGAACTTGCATCAACTGCTCTGCCTCGGATCATCAGAGTTCCAACCACATGTTGCTCTGAGTAAATTAGCAGCTAAATACGGGCCTTTGATGCACCTAAAGCTCGGTCAACGTTTGGTTCTTGTCGTTTCGTCTGCTGAAGTTTCCAAACAATTTTTCAAAACACATGATCTCACTTTCTCTAACCGGCCAGAGCTTTTCGTTGGGAAGATAATGATGTACGGTTTTTCTGATATGGCATTCGCTCCATATGGTGACTTCTGGAGACAGATGCGAAAAATTTGTAACTCGGAACTCCTTGGTCTGAAGAGGATCCACTCGTTTTTTCCCATGATGTTTGACGAGGTGCGTGATCTTGTTAAGTCAATTGCAGCTGCAGAAGTAGGGAAACCCATTGACTTGAATGAAAGACTGAGTCTGTTGCAATTTGCTATCACTTGTAAAGCTGCTGTTGGTAGGACGGCATGTACAGATCAGGAGTCATTTTTAATGGTAATGAAAGAATTCGTAAGCTTAGCGGGAATATTCAGCGCAGCCGATCTATATCCTTCCTGGAAAATAGTTCAATTAATTAGTGGCCTAAAGCGAAAATTAACGAAAATGCATCATAAGGCTGATCATATTGTTGAACAAATTATACGTGAACATGAATTGAAGAGATCAGGAAGTACTGATGGTGATGGCAAGCAAATAGAGGAAGATATCGTGGATGTACTTCTGAAACTAAAGGAGAGCAAAGATTTTCCGATTCCTATCACTAGAAATGTTATCAAAGCTACAGTCTTGGTAAGTAGCCGGTCTCTTCTTGTTTTAATTTCTCCCATTTTTTGTTTTACCACTCATTAATTCTTCTCCTTTAATCGCAAGTCTATTGGACTGAAATAGCTTATATGCGTCAAGTTTGTACTACAATTTAATTTGTTAGATTTAGCTGAGAGCCGTTGATTGCTTAAGTAGGAGGGCGTTAAAGAGAAGAGAAATAATAACCTTAGAACCTTGAGTTCATGTGTTTTATATATATTTTTCCGTTTGTGGATATCGAATCTATAACCATTGGTTTATCATTGACGGAGTTGTGGGTTCGTCGGACTCTGACTTCCTGCAATTTTGTGAGTATATAGGTTTGGGCTCGGCGAACTATTTTTACTTTATATTTCATTGTTAGGGAGAAATTTAAAAATAACCAGATTTACAATTGGTCGTTCAAAAATAGCCCAATTTCAAAAGTAATCGAAATGTAGCCATTTTTTATGTAAAGATAAATTTGAGCAAAAATACTATTCAAAACCCGAAAAATACTCCAGTATATTATGCTGGAGTTCCAGCATAAGTATACTTGAACTCTAGCATATTATACTGGAGTTCCAGGATAGTATGCTGGAACTCCAGCATAATATGATGGAGTTCCAGCATAAATACACTAGAACTCCAGCATAATATACTGGAGTTCCAGCAAGTATATTAATATACTGGAGTTTGGAGTCACCAGTGCTCCGGTCTCCAGTATATTATACTGTAGCCAGCAAAGTATACTGGTCCAGCATAATATGCTGGAGTTCATACACAAGTGCACCGAACTCCAGTATATATGCTGGACCGTGTCTATTGC